CGGTTGTACAGGAGGCGGACAGTGTGTGTGGCGTGAGTGGACCCACCACAGACACGTGCCGCTATGAGTACCTCGTCAGAGGTGACAAGACAATCGCCTGGGAGGTGCAGCAGGAGTTAGAGGACTTCATGAGGATAGAGCGGGCGGCATGTGGGTGTTCCTAGTGCTGGGAAAGGTGGCTCCTTCTTCCTCCCTATCAAACATCTATCGTTCTTATCTCTCTTCCTTCTTCCCAATTAAATATCTATCGTCCTTATCTCTTCTCCTTTTTTCCTATCAAACATCTATTGTCCTCATTTCTCCTCCTTCTTTCCTATCCAACATCTATCGTCCTCCTCTCTCTTCCTTCTTTTCTGTCAAACATGTATCGTCCTTATCTCTCCCCCTTCTCTTTTGTGTATTTTCCTCTCCTGTAACACATCTAATCTTCGGCATTTACATTATGACCAAATTGTGGTGCAAGTGCTGTAAAACTTTTACTAAAACAAAGCAAACAGGGGTCGGCACAAAAAGAACAGTATAGCCCGATCTTTCACCTGCAATTGCCACTTATATTTGTGTACGTAACCACGTTTCCTATTTCAAAGCAACCTTTATCTTCACACAGCTACATTCCGATTTCCAAGCTGACAGTCTTACGGAAACTAAACTGACAAGGGCCAAAACTATTTCTGCGGTCCCGTGTGCAAGTTGCGCACGTTTGAGATCCCTTAGTGGTCCTAAAATCGACAAGAGTAGACTTCGGCCGCCACCCCGGCAAAATTCAAAATTATTTTCTAAAAACTTAAAATGCTAATGCGTCCCGCACACTCGTAAGACCTTATGCAGTTGCGAATGACGTAAAACACTTAACAAAACAAAACTAAACTAATCAAAACTGAACTAGACTAAACTAAACTAAACTAGAGTAAAGTAAAGTAAACTAATCATAACAAAACTGTCACACTGTATCTTCCAGCAAACGAAGCTCCCACCCTCACAAACTTTACAAAACTGTCCCACTGTATCTTCCAGCAAACAAAGCCCCCACCCTCACTGGAGACACAGTGGTCAACGCGACAGTGGGATCTGGTAGCAGGATTACCCTGGAGGCCAGTGACCCAGAGGGCGCCCCTGTCACCTTTGACATCCTCCAGACCCCGGGATCTGGGCAGTTTGTGTACACAGTTATAGGGTCCAACAAGATTCTAGATGGCTTCTTCACACCCAGTAGCACAGAGCCTGTCAGACTCGTGTACGTATGTCGGTGTGTCTTGTTTGTCTGTTTGGCTGATTGTATGTATTATGATTATGTGTGTGTGTGTGTCTGTTTGCCATTGGAAACCAAATTGCCCTACAGGGATCGAAATTAAAGTAATTTATTTATTTATTATTATTTATCAGATATTTATTTATTCCAATCTATGGCTATGCCCGGTTTAGATATTATAATTTAAGTTAATGGCAGTGTTCCGTTTAAGTTACATCATAGTTCCAATGTCCGTCACTTCCTCCAATCTCCGTCACTTCCTCCAATCTCCATCACATCCTCCAATCTCCGTCACTTCCTCCAATATCCGTCACTTTCTCCATCACTTCCTCCAGTCTCCGTCACTTCCTCCAATGTCCGTCACTTCCTCCATCACTTCCTCCAGTCTCCGTTACTTCCTCCAATGTCCGTCACTTCCTCCAATCTCCGTCACTTCCTCCAATCTCCGTCACTTCCTCCAATATCCGTCACTTCCTCCATCACTTCCTCCAATCTCCGTCACTTCCTCCAATATCCGTCACTTCCTCCAATGTCCTCCAATCTCCGTCACTTCCTCCAATCTCTCTGACTTCCCCAGGATTGACGTCCAAGACGACCAGGGACTCCGGTCAGCGGCGCGGGAGATTGACCTGCGGGTCTGTAACGGCTGTAGTGGGCGCGGGAACTGTGCCTGGGACGACTTCCAGAGGGTGGCGGGGTACCCCTACTTTGCCGTGGTGCCTTGTGATTGTGAGGGGCCTTACTCTGGTCAGTGGGAGTGTGTGTGTGTGTGTGTGTGTGT